CCCGTGCCCCGCCCTGCGGCCTGGAGCTGGGCTCTCCTCCGCCTGCAGCGCCTCCTGGCCACGGCCCGCGGCTCACAGTGACCTGGCCGCCGTGGAGGCCGAGCTCGTCGTGCCGTCCTCACTCTGCGATGCTGGAACAGGAACTTCTCACCTTCCCCGGAGATGCCCGTCACCGCCTCTCCCCCTGCTCCTCCCCCCCGCCAGCTCCCAGAGTCCCCTGCGGGCCAGTCGGAAACACTGCTGCCAGGAGGACGTGTTCGTGGGCGTCTGCCCCCTCGGAGCCCGGGAGCCGGCCATCCGTGCTCTCCAAGTGTCCACGCTCCGGGCCCTGATGTGAACCCGGGAGTAGCTTCTGCCTCAGATGCCTGGGTCTCAGCGGGACTGAGGGAGCCTCGCTGCACGCCCAGGCCTCCCTCCCAGGGCAGCACTGCGGCCCTGCCAGGACGCCCTCTGCCCTCCTGTGCATGACAGGCCCTCCCCAGCCCTCCGTGTACACGCACACAGTGCACGCGTGTGCACACACATGCTCACCGGAGCCGGCGGGTGGCAGTCTGCGTCTCCTCTTTTTTTTCTAGAAACGGGAGGAACGGGCTTTTTAGAGCCCACTCTCCGCCTATTTAATACTCCTCACGCGGCCAGGGCTGCCCCTCGGCACCGCGACGCGGGCGGCCCTCAGATGACGCGTGTATTTTTCTAGGAAGTAAAGGAATCTTCACAGATGAGTGTCCTTGCCTCTGCCCCTTCCTGGAGAAGGAGACGGGCAGGGAAGGGCCGGCCGGGCTGCCGGCAGCTCAGGGGGAGCTTGGTCTGTCCTCGGGTCCAGGGAGAGGAGGCCACGCTGGGGGGCAGGCCTCCCTCCCACGTGCCCCCCTCGGGGCATTGGTAACAGCTGCGCAGCACCCCGCAGGCCAGTGGCCTCGGACCGGAAGTGGAAGGAGAGAGCGAGTCTGCAGCTCAAGGAGGGGCCTGGCCTGGGCATCCAGGGCAGCACCTGCTGCCCACTGCCCCTGGTCCCAGCGGAGGGACGGCTGCCCTGCCTCCTGCTCTCCTCCCTTGGAGCTGGGAGGCGCTGGCCGTGGGAGCCGAGGGCCACGGGGCCAGGGCCGAGGGCTGTGCATGGCCAGAGGGACCGCGACGCTCCGCGGCCTCGCCCTCGAGTCCGGAAGGAACCGGCCTTGTAACGGGGCCCCCTGGGCTGCGTCCAGGC